TTAACATCTATTAAAATCCACAAGAAAGGTGCATGCCTTGCTGGGCGGAGTAGTCTACATACTATCTCTACTATTCTGTGTCCATTCCTGTGGTCTTGTCTTCATTCTCACAGCTTCCTCACCCTGAATGGCCTCCTTTTAATATAAATCCTCATTTACAACCTAGCAGTATTTTCTTGAAGTGTTATCACCAATATAAGTCTTCATTACTATTAACTATGATTTTCAAAATATTTTCTGGTGTGGCATAATTCAAGTTTATCATAGAATGTGTTTTTCAAAACAAGACTGAATATAAACTATGGGAGAAAACCTCAACATTTCTCACTTGTGATTAATCTTTAGATATAAGCTGAGTTCACATAACTATGAGGTATAGTTCTCAATTTTTACTTTACCATATAATTGACTAATGTCCATCCGACCATTCTAGAGTTTTATCTAATATTTTATTAAAATCAGGATAACCAAGGAGCATCCCATTCTTTTACTCTAACAATATAGCAAAAATATAATGAAACACAAACTTTAGGTATATTTTGTCAATCTTATGCTGTTATGAGTTTCACTGCTTTCTGTTATAAAATTCAAAACTATTTTCTCCTGAAAGGAAATCTTGCCATTTTATACAACATGGATGAATGTGAAGATGCTATCCTAAGTAAAATAAACCAGTCCAAAAAGACAAATACTCCCAATGCTCCTTTAAGTATATAAAAGAGTAAAGCTTATAGAAGCAAAGAATACAATAATGGCAACCAATGTCAGAGCTTTAGGAGAAACATGGAGCAGTTATTCAATAGATTTTAATCATCAGTTATGTTAGATGAAGAAGTCCTAAAAATGTTCAATACAGTATGATTCCTAAGGTTAACAATATGGTGTTTTACTTCCAAGATGAGAGGAGATCTCATATTAAGTATTCTTACCACAAGCAACATAAATGAAAACAAAGAAAAGAAGAAAGGGAAACAAAAAGTGAAAGGTGGTAGATATACATCAATTATCTTGAGTAGGGTGGTAATATCACTAGTGTTTGTCTAGATCTAAACTAAATAAATTGTATACAATAAATACATACACGTTTTGAATATCAATTCTGCCTTAATAAAACTGTTAAGAAAAAAATATACATTTTTTCTCTTAAATTGTTTCTGTATTTTTGCTTATGATTCATTGATCTCAAAGATGAATCAAATAAGTGCAGACTAACACTACTGCAGGGAAGGTTAGTGGAAATTCTGAACAAAGACATTGAAGTACCCAGGTTGCATGAGCAAAGCAGGACAGGAAGCAGTCAAAATGAAGAGCACGTATCAGAGTCAGACTTTAGCAGGGACTGGTCTCATGGAATGGGTCAGTGTACCATACCTGCTGTCAGAATTGTAATGACTGAGCAAGATATAATGGAGCTTCAGTGATGGGGGTTAGCATTCAGTGGGACAGTCTTGTGTGAGGCCAAGAATGCTGAAAAAGTTGTCAGCTTGAAAAGCATAAAGAGTACGACATATGGAAGGATATGTGCCTTTATCCATTTTGTGTTTCTGTAGCAGAATACCACTAACCAGGTGTGTATGATGAACAGAAATTTATGTGGCTTAATATACTAGAGACTGGGAAGTTCAAGGTTAAAGGGTCACTTCTAGTGAAGGCCTTCTTGCTGCATCCCATGGTAAATGATCAAGGACCAGAGTACCCACAGGAGACAGAGGAAAGGGACAAACTAATTCTCATATTAGGAACCTATATCTGTGATGATTAGCCCATTCTCTGAACAGGCCACGAGTAACCCTCTGTTTCATAATTTGAAGAACTGACACATTATTTGCATAACAGTTTGTACATTGTATAGTTCCTTCAGCAGTGGATGAGGGTTCCAATGTCGTCACATTCTTGTCAATCTTTCTGTTTATGGGTCCTGTTAGTTATTATTGTTAGTTATTATTCCGATGGATGTGAAATGTTTCCTCACTATGGTTATGATTTGAATATCCTTAACAAATGATGAATAACATTTTCAGGGCTTTATTTGTCAATTTTTGGCTCAAATAGAAGAATGCTTATTAGAATCCTCTACCTATTTCCAACTGTGCTGCTTTCCTTTTCATTGTTAAATTGTTAGAGTCTTTTTGAATACTGACCATGAATATTTCCCTGTTATTACTAGTGTCCAGAAAAACTAATATTAACTGAAAATACTTTCCAATAATGTGTGGTATTACAGAATTACTATGGGCATTGATATTTTTTTTTCAGGGAGAGTAGCAGTGTGATTTTTATTAAGGATATAACTGAAAATTTATAACAAGAGCAAGTTTATTTCTCTCTTTTTCATTTCAAATCTCTCCAATTTCTTTTTTATTTGTTCTTTTAACATATGCATAATAGTTAAGTGCATTTTGCCATATTATACATACCTAGTTATTGTCTTTCCAATGGATGTGAAATGTTTCCTCACTATGGTTATGATTTGAATATCCTTAACAAATGATTAACAAATGATGAATAACATACTTTCAGGGCTTAATTTTTCATTTTTATGTCTCAGTGAGACCCTGTCTGCAAAAAACTACAAAATAGGGCTGGGGATGTTGCTCAGTGGTAGAGTGCCCATGAGTTCATTTTCCAGTACTTAAAAAAAAAAAAAAAGCGAGGCCGAGAAGGAGGCTGAGAGTGAGGCCGAGAGCAAGAGCGAGAGCTAGGAAAGACCAGTAGCAAACTGAAATAACACAATGCCAAAAAGACAAAAAGCAAGGTGAACAGAAATAACTTAGGTGGATATTTTTCTTCAAAAGACATTTTTTTTTCTTTTCTTTAAAAAAAAAAAAAACTTTTATGGTGTCCAGCTAACTATTGTTTTTTTCCTATTGGAGTCTCTGGTTTTGGTATCTTCTCAGAGAAACCATCATTAAATCCTAGGTCACAAGGATTTGGCCTTTATTTTTTAAATTATTATTATAAAGTTGGTTCTTCCTTTTAGTTCTAGTGCATTTTGTAGTTCATTTCTTGGGGATAGTGTGAGAAAGAGTTCCAAAATTTATTATTTATTTATTTATATGCCTGTTTGTTTGTTTTGCAATGCTGAGGATTGAACCCAGTGCTTTGTGCTGCTAGGCACGTGCTTTACCAAGGATCTACATTCCCAGCCCCAAATTACATCTTTTACGTAGAGTTTATTGTTCTAGCACCACTTATCAAAAGAATATTTTTCCCATTAAATTTCCATGAAATCCTTGTAACAAGTCAATTGATCACAGATGTGTTTTATTTCTGGATTATCAATTCTATTCTATTGATCTTTTTGTCAGAATTGCAATGACTGAGCAAGATATAATGGAGCTTCTGTGATGGGGGTCAGCATTCAGTGGGACAGTCTTGTGTGAGGCCAAGAACGCTGAAAAAGTTGTCAGCTTGAAAAACATAAAGAGTACGACATATGGAAGGATATGTGCCTTCCATGTACTTATACTTAGGACAAAATCACACCATCTAATTTTGTAAAGAGTTTTCAAATAGCAAACTGTGAGCTCTCCAAATTAAAAAAAAAAAATACTGAGAATTCCTTTTATTTTCATAAGAATTTTATCATTGGCCTGAGTTATGGTTTTGATCTTATGTGTCTCCTCAAAGCTCATCTGTAAGACAATGAAAGAAAATTTGGAGGTGAAATGATTGGGTCATGAGATCCTTAATTCTTTAGTGAGTTAATCTCCTGAGTGGTGACTGAAGGCAGATAGGGTATGGCTGGAGGAGGTGGGCATCAAAGGTGTGCCTTTGGGGTATATATTTTGAATCTTTTGAGTGCACTCTCTGCTTCTGGATCTTCATATCTTGAGCCGATTCCCTCCACCACATACTTCCACCTGATGCTCAGCCTCACCTCAAGCCCTGAGGAATGGAGCTGGATATCTATAGACTGAGACCTCTAAAACTGTGAGCCCCCAAATAAAATTTTATCTCCTCTGAAATTGTTCTTGTCAGGTCTTTTAGTCACAACAGTGAACTGAATATAAAGGTCTGTCCAGGCCTAAAAGACAGAGCTGGGAGTTTGAGAGGAATGACACTAAATTTGTAGATCCATCTGGGTAGTACTGATGTTTTCACTGGTTGAGTCATTTGATTAATGAAATTGGATGTATTTTCATTTATGAAGATTTTTCTTTGCATTCAAATTATCTTTTAATCATAAGTGAAATGTATTACATTTCAATTTTTAGTTTATTCTTATTAATTTTATTGTTCATGTTATTTTAAAAATTTTGATTGCTCACTGCAAATGTTTAGAAATATAATTGAGTTATTCAGTTTATCTGGTATTCTGCCACCTTGCTTCACTTTGATTTACTCCCAGCAGTTCTTTTTGTAGATTTTGTAGATTCCTTATAGAATTTTCTATACACAAGATTATGTCATTTACAAGTAAGATACTGTTACTCCTTGTTTTCCAATATTAATTTATTATAATTTTATTTTCTTTCCTGATTGCCCTAGCCAGACCTTGAGTCTGTTGTTGAATAAAAGTGCAGAGAGTGGGCATCTTGCCTAGCTCATTATTTTAGAAAGAAAAGCTTTCTGTTTTCTATCATTATGTATGATCTCAGCATGTTTGTGTTTTTTTAAAATGCTATTGTTGTTTTAACATAAAACGAATTTAAGAATATGCTCTGCAGAGGACTTGAGAATATTACACATAAGGTATGGAAAATACTCAAAAACTCAGTTACCAAAATGGTTTCCTATGTATTCAGACTGGATTCTACTAAAAACATATTTTAAAGCACATAACACGAATATGGATAGTTCTATATGATATTTATTGACATGTCACACATTCTTGTGATTCCAATATCATTGACAGCTGACACAGTTGAAGGGCTGGGAAAAAAATGAGATACTTTGCTAAAAAGACTTGAATTCTCTCTTGTACACATTGTTGTGTGATCGGACAATAAATATTTCAAAAATTTTCTTCTCTTCCTACTTAGAATTCTCAGAAGACAATGGCAGAAGAAAATCGTTCTACAGTGACTGAATTCATCCTGGCTGGGTTAACAGACAAACCAGAGCACCAGCTGCCCCTCTTCCTCCTCATCCTAGGAGTCTATGTGTTCACAGTGGTGGGGAACCTGGGCATGATCACACTGATTGGGCTCAGCTCTCGTCTGCACACAACTATGTACTACCTGCTCAGCAGTCTCTCCTTCATTGACCTCTGTCAACCTACTGTGATTACCCCCAAAATGCTGGTGAACTTCATGATGGAGAAAAACACCATCTCCTACCCTGAATGCATGACTCAACTCTACTTTTTCATTGTTTTTGCAATTGCAAAGTGTCACATGTTGTCTGTAATGGCATATGACCCCTATGTTGCTATTTGTAACCCCTTGCTTTACAATATTATCATGTCTAATCAAGTCTGTTCCTGGATGGTAGTTGGAGTGTACAGCATGGGCTTAATTCGTGCCACAGTTAACACAACCTGCATGCTAAGAGTGCTTTTCTGTAAGGATGATATAATAAACCATTATTTCTGTGATCTCTTTCCTCTACTAGAGCTCTCTTGCTCCAGTACATTTATAAATGAGGTAATAGGTCTGTCCTCAAGTGCAACCATGTCCATCCTACATCTTCATCATAGCCAGCATCCTGCACATTCGCTCCACTGAGGACAGGTACAAAGCCTTCAGCACCTGCAGCTCCCATGTCTTAGCTGTTGCTCTCTTCTTTGGTTCTCTAGCATTCATGTACCTGCAGCCATCATCAGTTGGCTCCATGGACCAAGGAAAAGTGTCCTCTGTGTTTTACACTATTATTGTGCCCATGCTGAACCCTCTGATCTACTGCCTAAGGAATAAAGATGTCAAAGTGTCCCTAAGTAAACTTCTTGGAAATAAAAGTTTGTGAAAAAGTATTATTGTTTAGCAAAAATTTATGATTTGTACAGATTTAGTAAGGAAGCAATTCTGAAACACTGATGGGTTTTTCACAAGGCATGAGAGGTTGCTAGCACTTCATTATTTGGAAGAAAGGTGCCAAGAACAGGACTGGATTCACAGGATCAGATACATTGAGGACAGCACCCCACTGGGAAACCCCAGAGTCCATCTACTATGAATAACCTCTATCACCTCCAGATATTTGAAAACATTTTTCAAATTCTTCCAAATATAAAATATTGCTCATATTTTATGTGTTTGGAACATAAGTCTGTTTGGGCAAAATTCATTTACATTAAATCAGGGAATACATATCTTCATTATTCTTTGATATTATTAATACTTTATGTAAGTTTCTTAGCAAGAATTTTCTAAATTGTTACCTAAAATAAACAATTTTAACTACTTGGAATATACAAAACATAACCTCTAATTCTTACAAAGTATAGAGCACTATATTAAGGGATAGGAAGGCACATAAAGTGTGATGATATTATTTCTATGTGGGAAATAACAATAGTGACACCAGTCTTGGAGATCAGAAACAGGTACATTTTCCACAAGTGTGGAAGATTCAACATCTGAGAAATGCCAAGGCAAGCACAGAAAGAATATTTTATTTAAGAAAAGAGATACCAACAGGCTTCTCCAAAGAGAAAGAGACCCCAAACTGGTTGTTCATGATTCTGGGTTTGTCTTGGTCTTCTTCTTTTTTTAATATTTATTTTTTTGTAGTTGTACACAGTAACTTTTATTTATTTTTATGTGGTGCTGAGGATCAAACCCAGGGCCTTGCACACGCAGGCGACTGCTCTACCACTGAGCCATAACCCCAGCCCCTCGTCTTGGTCTTTTATAGACCCCAGAAGTCCTCACCTTCTCTTTCTGTTCATGTTTCTGCCTAAGGTCAGGAAAGGACAAGAGCACAGGGGGTAATTGTTAGCAATCCATTGAGCTGGGAAGTGTGTTCCCAGAGGTAAGCTTTAAGCAACTCATTGTCTTTTCTGTTTGATAATTAGTGATAACCAGTCATCAACCTGTCTCAACTCTAATCACTCAATATGTACACTAACAGACCTTCACCCCCTGCTTCAGTTTGTTGAGGAATGTGACATATTCAATCCCCTCTGGCCAGGTGGGGCTATAGTCATTATGTGTTTCAGCAAAAGAAAGCCTGTGGGAAGGCAGTACAATAGGTTCATTTTACAGAAACTTTTTCTTCATGTTCCCACCATTCTCATCTATCTGTATCTATTCCCCACTCAAGGACTTTTGGCCCCTAAATTCTTTTAGGGTATATAGATGTCAACTCATTCTGGATACTTCCTGCTGAAAAGGGGTTATATCTCAAGGAATAAAACTCAAATTTCTTGTTCTCCCTCAGAAGGGGCATGGAGAGTCAAGGGTATTTAGCATCAGGATAGTCCAGAGGTCCATGATGATAGCTGGTGAGTGACTGGATGAGATGTACACAGGGCAACAATCATGCTAAGGAAAAATAAGACAACAAAGCATTTTTTATAAACAATTATCATGAAAGTAATCAGTATTATTGGCTGGCCTCTTAAAGCCATGAAGATGGTAAATCATTAATGCTCTAGGTGGTATTCATATGCCACTGATTTGTGAGTAGAGGCCAGTTAAGGCTTTAGAAACATCAGCAGAGTTGTTAGAGACATATACACAACATTTAGTTTTTATAAAGCCACAGATGTCCCCATATGATGTAGTTAAGGTATCTAATGCCATCTGATGTTTATAAGTATCTCTCTATTGGCATTACCTCTCTATTTAGTAGAGATCCCTAACTTTCTGTCACTTAGGTCTAGATAATAATTCTAGCAAATGTAGACCAAACTTGCCTATAGAGAAGGTTGGGAAGGTCTGTAGGTCTTAAATTGATGCCCCCCAACCTCAAAAAAAGAAAAGAAAAGAAAATAATAAGATAGCTGTTTAGGTCCCAGAGCAACTAAAATTTAAATGTGACACTTTTTTTTTTTGGTCTGGTCTTGAATTGCTTTGGGCAATTGCTCATTCAAGTCTAGCTGTAAAACAAAGTTATAGTTTATATTTCCCTTAAGAGTTATCTCTCCCTTTCCTCCAAGTAGTATTTGGGCCAATCTTGGGTACAGAAAATTGCCGCTGCCTGGCTGCAGCAAAATAACCGGGGGGTGACGAATAACTTGTGTATGTTGATACAGCAGGAGTGGAAGCCGTTTATTGCAGGACAGGAGCAGTATTTATACATTCCACACAGCTTATCTAATTAGCATAAACTAGATACATCAGTCAACCAATCAGGAATCTCCACACTTAATGACTCGCTTTTGTTACTTCTCAAACCACTCCCTCTGGCATTTTGCCAGGCACCATCCAGACTTGTTTACGAACTCTAACATTCCCCTGACTAAATGCCAGGTGTTATTTTGACTTGTTTACAGACTCTAACAGAAAATATTAGGCATCTTTTCCCAAGATTTGAAGGTCAAAGGAATTTCATGGCATAAGTACACGTGTCAGATGGTGTGTTATCTATCTGAAAGTGAAGGGGGGAGAAGGTGTCCCTAAGCACCTCTCCACTGTCTGAACCAGAACAAGGCATCCTTTGATACCCTGTGTACCTCAAAGTTGTTGGCCACCAACTTAAATTGATGCCCCCCAACTAAATAGGACTAAATAGGACTCTTGAGTCATTCAGATTAGTCTCCCTTTACAAATGCATCCCTCAGAGTTCCCTCATTCTGAGTTCCTATATCTCCTGTGGTCCTCGAAATGTTAGCGTCTACACATTGAGATTGAAAATTTGGTTGCTCCTTACCAAAGAATGACCCCCAAATCTCCTTTGTGTTACTTCCCTCTCAAAGGGAGAAACCCTGATTTCTCTGTACTATGTTTACTCCCAGGTATGGAAGCACTATTGATTGCATTGAGCATCTTGGAAGAGACGAGCCCATTGTAGAACCCCAGAGAATGAGAAAGTGCCACAGTGTTCAAGCCTTTCCTGATCAGTAGAGATAAAGGCTGAAATAAAGACTTTACACTTGCTGTGGACAAAAGTATTTTACAGAGGGTGAGAAAAACATCTAGTGATTGTTGAACACTTAATGCTCTTTCCCTGAAGGAATCTAAGAAAGAGGTTAATTCAAAGACCAAGGCTTTTCCTTACCTCTATTTATACATGTACCTAGGAAATTTATGTCAGGTTCATTCCACAGTCTTTTATGTACCTATCTCCCCTCCCTCCCAGCATTAGTCAGGGTTCTCTAGAAGAACAGAAGCAATAGAAGGTATGATTATAAAAGGGGTTTTATTAGATTGGCTTACAGAAACTGGATATTATACACTGACTATCAGCTGGTTTCCAGATGTAGGAACCAGTAGCTGTACAGTCCAAGATGCTGAAGCCTCAGAACAAGAGGGATCAATAATACTACCCCAGTCTGAAACCAAAGGCTTCTGGAGAATCACTGCAGACTTTGCTATGGAAGAGTGAATGAGCCAGAGTTCTCAGGCACTCAAGAAAAATCAAGGGGGTTTCAAGATGGCAGAATAGAGAGGCCACCTCCTTGGCTGCTTGCTCTCTGCTGTGAAACCAAGAAAAGCAAATGTTCATCTTCTCCACAAGTTGGGTGAATAAACAAAAATAGAGAGGACTTCACTGGAATTTAATAATGAACACTCGAAACAGATTAGAGAATCCAGGAGTTGGATATAATAAAATAAGGAAGAAATCCTCAGGGCTACAGCCCTGGCCATGGCTAGAGGCACAAGGGAGAATGTCCCTCCACAAACACAGTGAAGGGATAAGGAATTAAAGAAACCTACATTTTTAGGAGGACTGAGGCATGTCTGGGTAAAGAAATTTTTTAGATCAAAGACACTTCTCAACTAAACTGAAAGTTGTGCTGCACAAAGTTGTGCTGGGCAAAAGTATTTTACAGAGGGTGAGAAAAACATCTAGTGATTGTTGAACACTTAATGCCCTTTCCCTGAAGGAATCTAAGGAAGAGGTTAATTGAAAGACCAAGGCTTTTCCTTACCTGTATTTATACATGTACCTAGGAAATTTATGTCAGGTTCATTCCACATCCCCTGCATGGGGAAGAACCAGCCCCTATACCAGCAGCATACAAAATATAGAGGAAGGAACCACGTTCAGCCATGGCAAGGGGCTGGCAGCTGAAGGATCTGATTTCTGGCAAACCTGAATCTGGCCTGACAATCAGGCCCTTTGTTTGCAACAGAGTGTACCCAAGTGACAAGAAGAAAATCAAACATGGAAAGAGCTTTACACAGGTGACAACTGGTTGTGGAAACCCACCCAACTCTCCCCTTCCCCCTGAGAGAGAGGAGAGAGTAAGTGCCACTCTGCATCACTTTTGCAATTCCCAGGAGCAGTAGCACCTGGGAATATGGATGTTTTCCAAGGAAGGAAGGAAAGGATCCTCAAATTGTGCTCCTACCTGCACGGATGTGAATCCAGGCCACGGCTTCCTTTCCTGAAGCTCCCCCTTCATCTTCCTGTTCTTTCCATAGTCATGTAGCCAAAGTACAGCCAGACAATTTCTCAGCCAGAGGAGTCAACATGCTGCACAATAGATAGAGACTTATCTGAAGACTCTGGGTTAAGGCAGGAAGCTGCCCCCATAGCATGCAAGGATCATCATTCCCTCCTCACTAGCCAGCCTCAAACTGCTGCTAGGGAATTAACTGGCCTCTCTCTAATGCTTTCAGTTTCAAGGTATAATGGCAGGCCATGTGCACCTGGGTAATAATACACGGCATCTTGAAAGGTCTTAAGTTTTAAATCCAATTAACTATTGTATTGCTGCTAGAAACTCCAAACAAAGATTTACCTGACGAGGATTAAAGAGTTAGGTTAATACATACTTGCTTTATATTTCACAAGTATATGCATGTTCTTTTTGTTTTTCTTTTACTCTCCAAAGAATTAGGCATGAGGAAATA